TATCATTCGTTCTCCACTCAGTAGCTGTATATACCTGTATTCTCTACTCAGGAGATAGCACACAGTCTCAACTGGATGGGAAGGCCAGAAAAGCGGCCCAGCCAGGCTTAGATTATACTCCAAAGGTCAATGTATCAAGCTGGTTCAGTTTTGTTACTTGTTTAAGAATGGGCTTTCATGAAGGTACTGATAGGAACCTTTAGAGTAGCAATGTACAAATCTATTTAAAATATTAGTGAGGTGGGTAGGGCGTTCTGTGTATATTTTCAAAGAGATCAAAGCCAACATTAGAAGAGAAATCTCTGGCAGTAAGCTAAATTCAGCTGGAACGTTCATGGAAATTGCTAGGAGAATATCTAACACCCTAACAAATCTCTTTATAGTTACTTTGAACTCAGGAAACACACCTTTAGGGTCATGTGCTGTGGAGACAGTGGGGCTACAGATGAACAAGATGAAAAATCTGTGCTTGCAAAGAGCTTATACTGTGCCACAGAGATGGTGCTGTCCCTTAGGAGAAGTTCTAGGAATCTGTGGGGCACTTCTCTGGCCATAATGACTGCATGCTGCTAGACCTCCTGACAAATGAAGAATAACCCCACGTCCCACACACATTCAAGTGTCCTGTTAACAACTGATAGAAGTAATCTGGAATCACAGCACCAAAGCCAATGCTGACCATGTTTCTGAGTCACCAACATTACACATGTTCCCCAGTCTTTATTCCTAGTGGTGTGTTCATGGCAATTTTACAAAAAGATGCTAGCATATCACTACTTCTTTATGTCTTCCAGTGAAGCCTATTTTATTATAAATTACTATCTTTTTATTACTCCTTTATAGTATAGTTATGCCAGTATATTGATTTTTAAAAATTATATGTGTAGGTAAAATAGATGTACTCTGAATTTCATTTCAGGAGAGGAAGGAGGTTGTTACAAAGGATTTATTGTAAAAGTACATGGGAAGAAATCTGATATAATTGAGAACTACTGCCCTACAGGGTAAACCATACAAATATCCTGGTAATTTTGGCATCTCTGCTCCATTGTAGCAACATAAGGAGCAGCTAGGCATCATCAGTCAAGGCTTTAATGCATATGTTTTTGTAAGATTACTGTTCCCCTTCAATATATTCCCTAGTCTTTTTTTCTTCTTTTTATTTTTTGGCTGCAAAAGAGAAACTCGAACTACATGAAATGCTATTGGTTAATAAGATGCTAGAGAAAATAATGCTCTTTACAAAAAGCTTTCACACAAAGGGAACATCCCAGCCGGGGGCTGAGGGTTGCCAAGAGCAAAACCCATTAGGCAAGGTAGTGGCTAGGAGAGCAAAAATACCTGAGTGTGTGTGTTTAGTTCCCTTTGATCAACACTGCCACAGCTGTCCTCCTAGAACTAACCGGATAAACCATCTAGGGCAGAATGCTTACTTGCCTGATCAATGGAATTCGACAGCTATAGTTTAAACTTAAGAAGTAAAATTTAACACTAAATTGAAATTAGAAATTGTGCTGGAGGTTGCTAGGTGACCCAGGCCAGGAACGTTGCTATGGACAGGGATCAGGACTGTTTTGGCTTGAGGCTATGTCAGATTTTCCTAGAAACTTCAGAGTATTCATTCTCTTTAAAAACAAAACAAAACAAACAAACAAAAACTTTAACCACTAGGGGGAGGGAGAGGAAACCAAAATAAACAACAATAAAACAACAGAAAGCCTCAAAAGGCATTATTCTACAGGAAAACAGACAGACCAGACATTTTTCCTGAGGAAAAATAAATCTACTCCCTCCCTGCCCACTTCTCCACTCCAACACCTAATATCATAACACTAATTCAGAACTTAGCTTTGAGAAGTTCAATGAATGGTTCTGATACTACACGATGGAAGTTTCAGTCATCAGTTAAAACCTAAGCCTGAGTGAAACAGAGTGGGCCCCTGCTTAACTGCATTAAGGAACATTCCAGGAGAGCTGACGTCTGTGACATTAGCAGTAATGACAACATCCCATCCCTATCTCCTTCTCTGCTCACCTACCAGCATATCCTCTGTGCTCACAAAAAGAACCTAGAATTCTATTTTGCTACACAATTTTGCCTTCTCTCACTTCTTTGGTCCAGGATATCTGATTTTAAATCTCCAACAATGAAACATCATAACCCTCCTACAGGATGACAGTAGGTGGCCATCTCTCCATCCTCTGAGTATCATCAGCACATTGTTTACGTAATTCACTTAGCTCTAGATTGTTCTACAGTTAGTTATCTGTGAGTATCATGCTGGAAGCTAGTGTTGATATGAAACAGAAACTTTATGTGGTTATCTTGGATGTATGCATGTAATTATCATTTTATAGAAGACAAAACTGAGATTCAAGAAACAAGTTGGCCACAGTCATTTCTCTGGCAAGTGGCAGTACTGGTATTTGAATTTTGGTCCACATGATACCACTGCACTAGAAACTTCCTTTATAAAGTATTCCCAAGTCACCTAGTAGTTTCTTTTTTTGCAACTCTATATACATAATTACTTGGCCAATTCTCCTTTATCCATTAGACTGTGGGTCCATGGGGACAGGAATAGTGTACATCTTGCTTTTCACATTGTCCTAATGACTAGTGCTAGTGGAATGCCCATTATTATTTATTTTTTTTTTAATTTTTTTTTTTTGAGACGGAGTTTCGCTCTTGTTACCCAGGCTGGAGTGCAATGGCGCGATCTTGGCTCACCGCAACCTCCGCCTCCTGGGTTCAGGCAATTCTCCTGCCTCAACCTCCCGAGTAGCTGGGATCACAGGCACGTGCCACCATGCCCAGGGTGGCTCAAGACTGTACTCCCAGCACTTTGGTAGGCCGAGGCGGGTGGATCACAAGGTCAAGAGATCGAGACCATCCTGCTCAACATGGTGAAACCCTGTCTCTACTAAAAATACAGAATGCCCATTATTAAAGAACTAAGTATCTGTGGAGCTCCTAGTTCCTACAATGGCATCTTGATTTTAAAAAGGGCATTTTGGACTCTATGTTTAAGTACAGAGTGTCCATTGGCAATCATTTTCACAGTAAAGTAAATCTCAGAAGCTAAAGAAAGGGGAAGCAAAATTCTTCCTATATAAAGTGTTTACTATGTTTAAGACACATACAAAGTCTTCTCCTTTGATAATGCTGTATCATCTAAAATTAGTACTATCCACACATATGTCTATCTTCCTGTACAGATGATGTATAAAAAATATTTGACTATCATTTATGGATACTTCTAATTAGAAACATATTTAGTGGACATCCTGAAATTTAACTTATTGCTAGTGTGTTTATTATTAAATATTTGACAAAATAAAAAGCACTAGGAAGAATAAAAGTGTCCCCATATTAATAGTAGAGTCATTTACACTAGCCCCAAACTAGTATGATTAAATCAATTATGGTGTATCCATACAATGGAAGACTATACAGCAATGAAAATGGACAAATTATTATATATCCTATAATAGAGATGAATCTCACAACAAAACTTTGAATGAAAGGTGTCAAATGCAACAAAATGCATAAATTCCATTTATAGAAAGATCAAATACAAGCAAAATTGACCTATGGTGTTCAAATCAGAATACTGATTGTTCTGGCTGTGGACAGAGTAGTGATGGGAACTCCTGAGGTGCTGATAATGTATTTCTAGATCTGTGTGCTAGCTCACAAGGGCTCACTTAGAAAAACTCCACGAGGTACTAATGACTTGCACAGTTCTCAATGTGTTATATTTTAATAAAGATTCACTTTTTAAAAAGCTCTCCATAGTATCTATACTGATGAAGTTATACACCCACACCCACCCACACACACATATACATATATATATATATATATTAACATACTTATGTATAGACTCCTATCCAACTTACCGTTTCTTTAGTGTCTTTGCTATTTATTTACATATTTATGTTTCTGTATCCTAGGACCTAAGTGGAAGACTACCTAGCCTTCTATTCATTATTTGTGGGTTGGAGGTTGAAATTCAAACGTTTACTCAAACACATCCAAAACACATATATGGCTTAAATATGGCTTTTCCTAGCCTTGCATAAATGTCTGATTCACATCTTGTGTATTCTACACTCTAGTGACATAAAGAAAATAAGTCATTGGTCATAGAAAAACCTACATGCAAATCTTATTAACCTGATTAAAACCTAAGCTTAAAATAAAGAAAAAAATAGAAGAAGTTAATCTAAGTCACAGAGATTCCTTTCTTTTCCAAATAACATTGTAAAAACAATTTTAGCCCTATTTAGTGCTGAACTTCAATTATTCATATATATTTTAGAACATAATTAACATACAGCCAATATTTTCCACAGCATATTGAAGTTGAGCAGTGAAATAATCAATTTTAACAATAAAATTTTATTCAGATATTAAGTTGCATAGTTAAGAAGTGTGAGTGTATGTGAGAGATCTTTTCTCCAAATTATTCAAAATTTCCCATACTTGTATTAGAAAATCTAATAATCATGTCATATTCAATATATCCAAATTCTAATTATAATGGTTTTAAGAAGACTAACATCTTCTTCCAACTTACTCTGAATCTAAGGGACCACTTCTTTGCCACTAATAGTAAAAGTCCAAGTTCATTAAGCAAAGACAGTATGGACTGCATGAGGGCGTTAATACTCTGAGATGAAGACAGAGGTTAATGATTTAAAAAATTTTTCAAACAGAAAGTTCTCTCTTCTCTTCTCTTTCTCCCTCCCTCCTCTACCTTCTCTCATTCTTGTCTTCCATAAACTCAGCAGAAACTTTGCAGTGTAAAAGGACATCCTAGGGGAATCATGGCACAGCTTGAAAGCGGTTTCCTGCTCCAGCCTGATCCCAAGCCTCTCCTGGGAGGAAGCGAGTGGAGCGTTCTCCCCGCAGGCCCGCTGGTGGGAGGTCAGGAGACCAGGTGGCAGCAGCCTCCCCAGGCGCCGGGCACCCCTCGGCTGGCCCAGGGACTTACCACGAGCGCGCAGCACAGCAACTTGTTCATTGTGGTCCCTGGAAACCTCAGGCTCTTGGAGGCGGCGGCTGGGCGAGCGCTCCGGTGCGTCTCTGCAGCCCGTGCGCTCATCACGTTATATATAGTGTCCCGGGAACAGGAAGTATCGCCTGCCTTTGATCAGTCATTTTTCTATCCTGGACCAAACTTTGCACCTTTCTTTTTTAGGAAGCTTGGGCGGGAGCGGTGGGAGGTGTGCAGAAAACTCCAGGGTTAACGCTTTCAGGGCTGGGGCGGAAAGGATCCCCCAGAGAGGTGGGGCTTGAGGGGTGGGGCGGTGGTGTCTGGACCCTGGGAGAGCAGGGGGATGGGAGGGGAGCCACCGGGGCTGTGGAACAAGGCGGCTGCTGTCTCCTCCGCGGGGCTCTGAGGTTTCCCGGCCCCTTCCCGCCAGAGGCCGGCCTCCTGGCAGTGGGGACCAGCGGTGGGAGGGCTGGGCGCACGCTGGGCAGCCACTGTGCTTGTGTCTCCTCCACCCTGAGCGTCCGATTCAGCCAAGATCCGGACGCAACTGGAGTGCGTCCCAGACACTTTGTCAGCTCGCTGGGTGAAAGCTGTGAGTTTCCGCAGTGCCCTGTTGCCTGACCCCTTCACTTCGGGTTCTGCAAACCTCAAATTACAAGGCCCCTCTTTATGCATGACATTGTCTCTGAGCCCTGTTCAGGGAGTTTGCAATCATTCATCTTCAAGTTTATATAGTAGGAATTTTTCTAACTCATGTCTGATTGGCCCTTAAAGCCCGTGCTGTTCCGCATTCACGCATTGTTATCTGGGGTAGTTAGAGCCAGAAAGAGTCTGCAGAGTGAAAATTGGACTGCCTAGCTCAGGGAGAAACTTGAGGGGCACTATCTCCTTCACCAACACCATCATCATCAAGGGGCTATTGGTACTGGAGCTTCCTACGAGCTGAGCTTCTGGAGTTGCCTCTTCGAGGTCTTTCCAGTAGCCTCAAGTTATAGACAGATGCTTAGCACTTTGCTCTAGGATTCACTGTCTCCCACATCAATCCCACCAGCTGTTCCTCTGGAAGTTAGACTTGATGACTTAGAAATTATTGTCCCATTCATGGGTTACAGTTCTCAGTTTGCCACTGAAACTGTTTACAGATGGCTGAAAAAGTCCCTGAAGAGCTGCTTCCTCATCAGGGCCAAGTGTTCAAGTTGTATGTCTCCCGAGAAGGGCAAATGCTGCCTTTCACCAGACTGAAGGAGAGGAAGGGGAAGAATCAGGAGAGGGGACCCCTGGAGAGCAAGCATGGCCCACCGGGATCAGAGCGTCTACCCCTTCCAATGGACATCCTTCCACCAGTTTCAAAGTGGATCCATAGACTATTCCACTGTGCAAATTACAGAAGACGGGGTGTCATTCAGCTTTGTCCCTCAAGGGCCAGAATATAACAGCATGCTGGTTTCTTAAGTGAACTAGTGAATAAATGTAGCTCAGTGAGTGTGGACAAAGTTATATAACTCCAAATTACCCCTCATATTTTGAATCTTTCTTTTGACATCTACAACCTGAGGTACCAACACTTAGTCTTGTCATGGGACTCAAGTCAATCCAAGCATTAGAAGTGAAGCACCATATAAAGAGCAGCATTATTGTTTTTGTTAGAGTAATATTTTTCTAGGATATTATTTAAAGGTGTTTTTCTCAAAACGTAAAATGATGCCAATATGTGAGTGTCAGACATGGGAGAAAACTAATTTAGAATTGAGTCCTGCAATGTTAACCCTGGGAAGGGTTCACGTCTCCTTAAGCCTCATCTATAAGATAAAAATAGACTGATATTGTAGAAGTGTAAGAGGAAGCAAATGGAAGCATTTAAAAAAGAATTACATAAATGATGGTGATCACTAGTTGTGAGCATTGACTAAAGTAATGCATGTAAAATAACTCAGCACAATGCCTGGCCCATAGGAATTATTTCCTATTGTTATGATTATTCTAGGGGAGTACCTCCGATACTACCTTACGAAGATACTTACATAGGCCAACATCTTAGTATACAGACACCTAGATTTGAGCCCCAACTCCACTTTTTCCTAGCTCTGTGACCTCAGACTAGTTGCCTATCCTATTTGTGTTTCCATTTAAAAAAAAATGTCTATAATGAGGATAATAATCACATCTACCTCAAAGTATTGTAAAGATTATTATAAAGATTGAATTAGATAAAAGATGTAAAACTCAAAATAGTGTCCAGCACATAGTGGGTGCTCATTAAGTGTTGTTATCATCTGAGGTTCTCATGGGGACATTTGTATAAGCACAAGGCAAATCTAGATTGTAAGCTCCTGAGGGCAGGAACTACATATTTTTCTATGGTATTTGCTGAAGCTTTTAGCTCAAATTCTGGCTCTTTCTGTAATGGAGCAATGATGGTGATTTGGGTATTTGGGGGATTGGTAATTAGCTGTAATCTGGAGACAGATTGGGGCACCATTTATCTAGAATCACAAAATAGACTGTGTATTGACTGTGCATCTCAGGGCCTAACTGTGGGCCTTTTATTCATCACCCACTGACAGGAAACTGACAGAGACTATGAGTTATCAGTCATTTCATTTGTTATATTCTTGGAGCAATCTGGCCAATCCTCTAGGGTATTCCTAAGTAATCTACTACTATGGGCTGCAAGCTCTGAACACTCTGAGCCAGAGTTCATTTTAAGATTTAATTGGAATGGACCCAGGGATTCCAGACTGAACCCAAAGGGGGACGTACGAACAGTATCTGGAATACTACATTCATCTTCCTGTGACAGATCCCTCATTGGCAGAGGCTGTCAGTGACATTAAGCAGAATGTCCCATAATTTCACCTTCTGTTTCTGGACACCAGATATATGTGATGCTAGCTTTCTAGGGGACATCTCATTATATTCCTCATGTCCTCTTTCTTAAACTCTTCTGAATTAGGCCCCAAGTTCAACAGATTTTGGATTGCCACCCAATGACACACTACCTACTTCCTCCAAGCCCTCATTTTAGCCACTCCTAAAACTTAGAGAAATGGTGCCTGAATATTAAGAGTTCCTATGGGGAAAAAACTTCATCTCGTTAGCACAGTAGCACAGCCCATGATTCAGAAGGTCATTTATAATCATCATCATGATGGAAATACCTGAGTCTCAGGAAAGCAATTGACTAGGGTGATTTGGGAGACAAGGCATGCAGCTCTAAGGTGACTGGTCAAGTGTCCAAAACGTCTTGTGCCTAAGATTCCTCATCTGAAAATTGGAAATACTAGCTCTGATTGTGCAGACAAAAGGATATTAACTTAAAGAACAAGAATAAATTCCTTGTTATTTCATTGTTGTTAAAAAGAAGCTTTATTCTGATTTCACAAAAGGAACAGAAAAAGGAGGAGAAGAGAAAAGTGAGCAGATAGCCCATTGATTTATTTCATTAATGATTATCAATTTATTAAAAAGCACAATATTAATTATATTAATATTTGAGACAAAAGCTGTTTGTCCTTATAGGTCTTCAAGACTATGTTTTAAAATGTATATGTATGTATGCCTTAAAAAATGTACAGAAAGATAAAGCTATCTAGCTGACTCATTTTCTGATGAAGTAAGTCAACAATTGTTTAAGAATTTGCCTAAACTTGTTGGACTAGGGGTCAGTAGCTGCTGTTTATGGTTCACTCTCACCTGTAATGTGATGCTGGCATTACTAGCCATACATTAAAATAGGACTTTCTTTGAAAATTGGCCTTAATCAATCACACAGATATATAAATATAAACAAGACTGTGTGCTACATGAAGAGAAATAAGTGGCATTAGAAGGACCTGACCCTGTGTGACTTTTAACCAGAATTCTGGGTAACAAATGATGACCACGTGGTGAGGAGGTGGGGGAGGGAAAGCCTTTGAGAAAGGAGGCCAGAGTATCAGTAGGTCTCCCAGTGGGAGGAAGCAAGGTGTGATTTAAGGAATTAGAAACATTCCAGTACAGTTGCTGCATGGAGAGCGAGGCATTTCGTGGTTCAGGAGGGGCTGAAAAGGTGAGTGGACAATGGTCAGGTTGCAGGTGTGAGTGATTCTGGTCTGTCTTCAAAGAACCATACAAAGCACTAAAGAGTTTTAAGCATAGGACTGTGTCTTAATCACTTTGCATTATTACAACAAAATATCATAAACTGGGTGGCAAATTTAAAAAAGAAAATTTATTTCTCACAGTTCTGGAGGCTGGAAGTTGGAGATCCAGAAACCAGCATGGCTGAGTTCTGATGAGGGCCTTGTTCTGATTTGCAACTGCCAACTTTGCCTGGTAACCTCCCATGGCAGAAAGGTTCTCTCTAAGGTCTCTTTTATAAGGGTCCTAATCCTATTTGTAAAGGCTCCACCCTCATGACCTAATCACCACCCAAAGGTGCCCTCTCCTAATACCATCACCTTGAGGGTTAGGATTTCAACATTCGAATTTTTGAGGAACACAACATTCAGTCCATAACCAAATGACACCATCATTTCAGCTGCTGAAGGATGTAATTCTCTGAACCTCACCCTGCAAACCTCTCAGGGCAATAAATGCAAATATAGACATGTAAGAGAAAACTCTCTGAACCTGCAAATCATAGTCAAATTGATGACACCTCTGAGTAGGGAAGTTGGGAAATAAGGAACAATAACCTCAACAGTCCATAACAGGAATCTGTTCTGATCAGCTCAAGGAAGAGGCACAGCCTCTTGTTTGTAAACTTTTTGCCAGTCACTCCATTCCCTTCAACTGGAGTTTCCAGAAACTCAGATAGTCATCTAGTGCCTACTCAGTCCCAAGAAACTCAGTCCCAAGAAACTGATGCATATTACAAATAACCACTAATTGGATGGCTTCTAAAGAAATAAGTATTTAAATCAACAAAGTGTTAAAGAATACTGTGCACTGACTCAGGGTTCCTCCTCAAAAATTATTGATGAAATTTGGTCATCTCTAGTATTAATTCAGAAATTCTCCCCACTTCCCTGATGCCCATGCAATTTGTCTGTACCTGGCTAATGAAGATGTCTTCATTAGATAAAACCTCTTAAAACTATTCTCTTAACAGTCAGTGAGGTGCTTCTATCTGGGAAAGTCCCCACCTGGAACTGAAATGAACTTTCAGAAACAGAGGTTTTGATGAGATAGTTTTCAGAGAAACTTGCCTACAAGAGTAAATTGCTTCCTGAAACATGTGTTTACCTATAAAAGCCTTAACCTAAAGGAACCTTTTTAAGTAAATAGTAAACTAAAAAGGGGAGTGAAGTCCCTTAACATTTAATGAAGGGCTACCATTAACAAATCAGGAAAGAAAGTATGTCTCAGCACCAAAAACATAATCATTCATTTATTCAGCAAATATTACCTACTATCTACTGTGTGCCAAGCT